ATGCATCTTCATTACAAATTATAAAAAAAAGTTTTTAACTCAAAATATATTGAAAAGCCTAAAGTTTCAAAATCCTATGAACACATTCCTTATTCAATGTACACAATAGATAATATAAAATTAAATAGGCAAACTTTTGTTATGAATATATCAAAATTGTTATTTATACTGTAGGTACAGTACTTGCATCTCTATACAGAACCGTATACAGCCTTAAAAGGCAGGAGTAAAATTTTCATTTAAATCACATAAGTATAAATTTGTATTTAAATTACGAAATACAAGATACATGTAATTTATTGTCATCAATACCAATAGATGCACTCGGGTGCATATGGGATCAATACAATCCTGGACTTACAATTTAAAATATTGAATTTCATATTACTGTACTGTCCAGAACAGTATTGTGAAGAAAAATTAAGAAATCCACAAATATATCTTTTACTGGTGATATATTTATTTTAAGGAAATATATAATAATCATAACCCAAGTTATCCTCCAAAATCTAATTACTGTAATACTCTACAAGAATTTGAAGTCCAGTGCCATTAAATCTATCATAAGATCTTGCATAAGAATTTTGAGGTTTCTTTTAACAATCAATTACAGTAATATCTCCGTTAGTCGGAATCCCTCTTAACCAGAACTCTCCGATAGACGGAATTAAAATTTTCTGAGGGGCACATTTTGGGGAAAATTCCAAGAAAATTTTCCCAGTACAGTATCCGGAAAATTCTAAGGATGGGTGCGTTTTTTCCGGGTTTGAGAGATTAAAATCGGGCTCATTTTCCGAAAATTCAGAGAGAATTTTTCCGGAACCCGGAAAATTCCGGGGATGGGGGATATTTTCCGGCTTTGAGAGATGATGTAATGGGCAATTTCTGGAACTTCCAAGAATATTTTTCCTTTACCCAGAAAATTCTGGAAAATTCCGGGGATGGGGGATATTTTTCTGGGTCCGAGAGATGATTTAGTGCACAATTTCTGGAACTTCCGAGAAAATTTTTCTGTTACCCGGAAAATTCCGGAGATGGGGGATTTTTTCTGGCTCTGAGAGATGATGTAATGGGCAATTTCTGGAACTTCCGAGAATATTTTTCCTTTACCCAGAAAATTCTGGAAAATTCCGGGAATGAGGGATTTTTTTAGGGCTTTGAGAGAGTTGTCTTGTTATCCGGAAGTGTTCTGCACAGACTGTTCTGGCTAACAGACAAATCACTATGATATACTGTACTGTAATGTAGTGCTGTTTTCTCTACAGCAAAAGTAACAGTGAGAATTTAATTTCTAAATTGTCTCTCCTTGCATAAAGAAGCCAATTTTTTTTTAGATTTATCCCTTTTATAACCTGTATGACCTAAATTAGTGATTACTATATACTGTACTGTATTGGTTAATTCTCTAATACAATTTTGATCCCTTTTATTTTGTAGGTACCATACCATACTGCAAAATATTTTCTACAATAAAAGATGGGACCTGATTAAATTGTGAATGCCACTACTGCTCAAGGCAAGGCCTAAATAGCAAGAAAGGAAAGAAAGATTTACTTCCTGGCATCTCAATTTGTTTTCTATGATTTCTTCTCCTTTCATGTCCTTGTATTTTCTTCCTCCTTTTCCTTTTATTTCTACCTCTCTATTCTTTCTTTCTTCTTCCTCCTCAATCCCTATCTTCCTTTTCTGGTACCATCTAAATTTGGTTACCTTCCAGCTGGCCAGAAACTGTACCAGGATACTGAACATTTTCAGCTGCTAATTATGGATGGCACTAGTGCTCATGGATCATATCCTCTACAATATACTGTAATGCATAGTCACAAAAGTTTATGAAGATTTTTGGTTATTCTAAAGACTGCTGGGTCCCAGACTAGCTAATTCCTTCAACCCAGGAGAATGTCACCCTGCCCAGCAGGATATGGTATAAAGGATATCAGATACTGTATAGCTTATATATGCTATAATGAGTTGATGGACCACAGCCACTACTTTATACATGGGTCAGATTTATCAAGCGGCTATCACTCTATTAATAAGAACATTATCATATTAAAATTGGCTCACTTTCCTCATCTTACTCATAATAATCTTATAAAAACAAAATATATCAGGGGTGACGATAGTTTTACAAATGGTATAAAAGTGAAACTATAACTATTTCATATTTAGCTCAAGAGAAATCTGACAAGTGTATAAATACACAGAAGCATACTATTAAAATGGAGTCATAAGCACATATAACAGGTGTTGGACCCAATGATGCACTTACTACCAGCAGAGAGATGGAAGCATGATTATCGTGAACACAAGTCTGAGAAATACTTACAAAAGATCAGTGCCACTTTAAACATCCATTCCAGATGTACTGGTTTTATCCTCTATACCAGTTTCATTGACCTATTTCAAATTCTAATACAGAGCAAAATATCCAATAAAAATCTTCATAAAACTGGTGTTTTGGTACAGTTCATCTGGAATACAAGTGAAAGGTCTTTGGGACAAATCCTGTAAACCACATTTACCAGGAACTACATACCTAAGTAAGCTCAGTCACTGTGACAACTAACAACATTTCTTTAAAGTGTTCAAGCCAGTGACCAAGGCTGAATAAAATACATTGCATTCATAACAGGGAGCAATTTTTGTGTCCTCCCAGTAAGCATTTAAACAGTATGTAGATGAAAAACTTTGAGACATTGAGCATCTTGGCACATTCAACAGGAACAGTTGCAAATAGTGAGGCCGAATGAGTTGATTCTTGCCAGGGTATATTATGTGTAAGAGCAGAACACTACAGGATAGGTAAGTATGTTGACAGTGATGAGGTATGATCATGAACATTGTTCTCAACTCTTGTAATATCAAATTTATCATCATTTAACACTTAATTATTCATAAAAAATATACATTAAGTAGAAAATTTTGTAAACATATATAAATTCAATATCATTAATATTGACATATTGTATACAGTACCTTGATCTTATAGTAAATAAATGGAAAGAAAGTTGTGACGAACATGTTTTATGAATGAAGCTAAAAATCTATAATACTGATTATCAGTTTCGTAAAAAAAATTATTTTTTTTGCAAAATTCATTAATCTTTGAATAATAATAATAATAATAATAATAATAATAATAATAATAATAATAATAATAATAATAATAATAAAGAACTACCATAATGCATTCTCTGTATAAAAAAACAGAAGGCAATAATTCCATACCAGAAAAATTACAAGACAAATATTTCAAAATAAATACAAATCCATTCATTTTATACAAGGAATATTATAAATTACTGCTACCATTATGTTATTGTATCTCATCTATACATGTACAGTTAAAAACTGAAGACTCATACTGTCCTGACACTACAATGTACCCACCACCATCTATGAACAGACACACACTCACGTTCCCCAGACTCAGACTCATGACTGATCACCATGTTTTGATGGTCAGTGAAGTAACTGAAAAATTATACAGTACCTATATTTTGGGTATTTACTTTCATCTCGTCACAACACTACTATTATGTACAATTTCCATAACTGATTACCACCTCTTGATAACTCAATTTGTTAACATAAATGCTCCATGTATGTGAGGACCCATCAATCCACTGAAATGTCAGCATAAAGCTCATGGCTGTTAACAAACCTCCATATTTCCATATGCCCTCATGGATGATGTAATTCTCAATGCTGGCTACCGCTCGACTAACACAGCCATGGCAAATAAAACCAGAGCCAGCATCACTGTGGTTCTAGAAGGACATGGATTTTGTGCTGAGGAGGTTATGTCCCACACACATGGTGGCTGTGAACAGTTAAGAAGAAGTCTCTGTGCCCCAATAGGGTCATGTTCCCAGAGATCCCTCTGGGCTGCTTGAGCAGCAATTCGGAAAGTTTTGTCACCTGTGGTAACAAGGTCGAAGATGCAGGAGTCTAGATAATAATCAGTCACGTTGTATTCTTTGCACATTTTTGTAGCCTGAAAAGTAAGAGAAGTTTAATGTTAAAAAAGAGTCTTTCGAACAATTAAAGCAAAAACAATAATACAGAACTGTACAGTACAGTACAGGTAAACCTTTATTTATGATATCCCAACCTGTGATAATTCACATTAACGATGCTGACATATTCGGACCACTCCACCATTTGCGATGTAAACAAACTCGTGTTAATAATATTTGTCATCCCGGCCCTTCGCCAGAGTTGGCGCATCACTCACTTCATTTGTCAGCTGAGGCATCATCTGGTGAACTACCATTAAGGCATTGTTTCTTCTTGGTTACATGTGTATAAGAAATGGAGCTCAATGTTTATTGGCCATCATCTTTTTTTTTTCAGTATACGTTATCAGTGTTTTTCCCCCTTACAGATACAGAAAATTACAGTTTCACAGTGTACTGTACTATATAGGTACAATACATGAACTCGGTTTCAGTGACAGTGAAATGTTTTCTCTGCTTTAGTGACTGTGAGATGCTTTTGCACCTGATTGTGAAGTGCTTCCCCTGCTTTAGTGACTGTGAAGTGTTTTACTTGCTTCAGTGACTGTGGTGTGTTTTACCCGCTTTAGTGACTGTGAAGTGTTTTCCCTGCTTTAGTGACTGTGAAGTGTTTTCCCTGCTTTAGTGACTGTGAAGTGTTCTACCTGCTTTAATGACTGTGAGGTGCTTCCCTCTGTTTTTGTGACAGTGAAGTTAGTAGTGTCATTTTGAAAATATCTGGCAAGTGTTTTGCTCAGGGTCCTGCGTTTGGAAAGGCCAAGGCACCCAGGGAAACCGTCTCTGGAGGTGAAACTCAACATTGTGAAGCAGCATGAGAGAGGTGACAGAAAGTGCTACATCACTCGCCATCTTGGCCTGGTCCAATCAATGGTATCTCCCATCATTAAGAAGGCACCGGAAGTGAAGGCCGCGGCACAGAACGTGAACCCTCTCTCCGTTTTTAGGGTATTAAAGAAGAATGAGCCTATCATGGACAGAATGGAGAGTCTTCTCCAAGGCTGGATTCAAGACCAGACTGAACAGCACTTGCCTCTGTCCACAGGGATCATCATGGCCAAGGCCAGTAATATTTGGACAAAACTGAAGGCAGAAAGCAGTGGCAGTGAGATCTCCTCCTCTTTCAAGGCAAGTCCTGGGTGGTTTCAGTGGTTCAAAAACTGCACCAATCTGTACAACCTTCATCTGACTGGTGAGGCAGCCAGTGCTGATGTTGTGAGTGCGAACGCTTTCCCAGCACTTATGAAGGCTATGGTGGAGGAAGGAGGATACATCGCCAAGCAGGTCCTGAACTTTGATGAGACAGGCTGTTTTGGAAGAGGATGCCATCGAAGATTTTTCTGGTCAAGGAGGAGAAGACTGTACAGTACTAGGCTTTAAGGTTGCCAAGGAGCGCCCTACATTGCTGCTTGGAGGTAATGCTGAGGGGGACTTTAAGCTGACTCCGATGTTGGTATACTATTCAGAAGCCTCTAAAGCTCTTTAGGGGTTCATTATGGAGCACCTCCCAGTCATCTGGTGCTCCAAGAAAAAGGCCTGGGTCACGACGGCGTTGTGCCAGTTATGTGGTTGATTACCACTCCAAGCACCTCAAGGAGGACACTGACGAGCAGAACATCACCAACAAGTTTCTCCTGATCCTCAACAATGCGCCTTCACATCAGCCTACCATGGGTGAGTGGACAGACAACATCACTGTCATGTTACTGTCCCCTAACACCACCTCACTCATCCAGCTGATGGATCAGGGCATCATTGCCACCTTCAAGGCTTACTACAGTACTTGAGACAGTTGATGATGCAGCTGTTTGAGGTGAAAGGTGGAGAGGGAAAGCCGAATGTCAAAGATTTATGGCACAGCTACAACATCAAGCATGCCATAGAAAACATTGACAAGTCATGGAAGGAGGTCACACAGAACTGCATGAACGGCATATGGAGGAAAGTGTTACGTGAGTGTGTAACCGACTTTGGCGGCTTCACAGATGTAGCTGTACACCGTGGCACTAGCAGCATCTCCAAGGAGGCCAGCTTTGAGGAGGTTGATTAGGAGAACGTGGCAGACGTCTTGGAGAGCCACTCTGAGGAGCTCAGCAATGAGAACTTGCTGCTCTAGGAACAGCAGCAGGCAGTCGAGGAGTCAGCTGGTGAGGAGGAAAACTCTGCGCCCATGACGCTGACTCTGAAGGTGTTGATTGGGCATTGCCATGGACCCCAACTTCAACAGGAGTTCTTCTGTGAGGGCACTAGTGGACGACATGTTTTACTACAGGGAGCTGTTCCTGCAGAAGGAGGCATGACAGACAACAATCACCTCCTTTTTCAAGTCCCTGTCACAACCACAGCCACAACCCTCGACTTGTAGGGTCCCCAGCCATGCAGGACCCTCCTCATCTGACACCTCTACAGTCTTACCCAAGTGCTACACCATCTTTAAGGCCAGGACGAAGGCTACACCTCCAGGTCCCACTGTGTCTCTAGCCTCTTCAGACTCAGATTGGTGACAACACTCTACCTTCAGGAGTCCTCTTAACCTCGAAGGGGACATATGATGATGATGATATTTGTTAGTATGATGTGGTGAGTGTTGCTTAATTGTGCTGCAGTGACAGTAGTATTCTAGGATTTTTTTTCGGTGATGCAAATGGGTGTCTGACCCCATGTTATAATAAACCTGAATTATAATATTTCGACCTGCGATTGGATTTGCAGGAACCAAACCTCATTGCAAATAGAGGTTTACCTGTACATTCCAGAATACTACAACATGTGTCAGTCAGTTGTACTTGTGTTTCAATAATTTTCTGTTGCTTTTCATATAAAATTACTTTATGTACAGTACATGTACAATATTTCGATCTATAATTTATGATAAAATTTTAATTCACTGTTTTGTACATTGTGATAATGATTAAATGATACAGTAATAAAATTTATTGATACAGTACAGGTATTCACAAATGCCAGATTTATTTTTCATGGTACGTACTGTCCAGTATTTCATGCTTTACTACAGTACTGTACAGCATATGAATTATCTTAGATCACATCCAAACACAGAGACATAAGATATTTTCACTGTTTGTGTCTCTCATAAACTCAGTTTTAAACAAATCCACTTCATTCAATATTTACCCTTCTTTTTATCTCACTGCAGTACTTATACCTATAGCATACTGTACATACAGTATACTGTATATACAGTATACAGTACTGTATCTATATATGTTAAATTAAATAGGAATAATTGCTGATTAGCAATAACTTGTATGTACAGGCAATTCCATTTATTGGAAACTTCTGACTGGTCCTAAACGATCATCCAATCATCAAAATACTGTACAGGTACCTGTATAGTACAAAGAAATGAATAGTTTCTTTCAAAACATAGTGTAACCTGACCAAACCTAACCTACTTTAGGTATAATTCGCCTATCCTATGATGGTACACAACATCTTAAATGAAACAGAGCAAATTTTAATCTGTACAAATTAATTTCATTTTTTATAACATTGAAAGCAAAAGATTATCCCTATTTGGAAAAATTTCAGTTACTTTTTAAAGCTTAATTGGGATATTATCCCTATTTACTATAACATACACACAGATGTCATGGAGGGGGATATGGGAGGAGGGGGTGAAGCCTATCTAATAATTCTGATTGTTCGCACAAGAATGGTTCATGGATACAACAGCACACGTACAAAACTCAAAAAAATGCCATGGAAAAAATGAGAGTAAATTTGGCAATAATCCTGAAAAGTACACAAATTCCATTCATTATACAAAATTATTTATCATCATTTAAAACAAAGAATTACCAGGTATATTTAAAAATATTAAATGGATCAACTGGTCCAACAAAAATATTAAGTACCTGTACTGTACCATAGTTTACAGTACTCTAAACAAATTCTCACTTGGCAAGTGACAAGTTAATTCCAATAAATGATGAGAAGATTTTGCACAGTACAGGTATGTGATGTACTGTGTGTACTCTGACATAAAGGCAAAGGTTTCTACTGGTAAACTAATTATACAATGTACCCTAAAAGGGATATACCTGTACTGTATTTTACAAACTGGTGAGTACGTGAGTATCAAAAGAAAATACTTTACTGTACAGTACCTTATCTTTGCTCATGGCAGGTGTAGAAATTGCTGTACCAGCTTTGTGAAGAAGTTCATGAGCTGGGCATCCCTGAAGACACAGCTGAAGCTCATCACCGCCTTTCAGTTCTTCTAACAATTGTTTTGGTAACGTTACATGAACAGTGAGGTACCTGAGAAAGACACAAGTTATAACAATATCCAACATGACAAATGATGAATTACACTTGTAAGACAACCATTTAGATATACACTACAGTACTGATTCTAGAATCTATAACTTTTAAAAGTGACTGTTAAGGATATTCAACCAATATGCTTTTTGTTAACGAGCAGCAGTGATATTGGAAGGCTGTCACGAGGATAATTTACTATTTCTTGAACTCCTTGGCTTTAAAATTTGAATTGTGTGAGTTTTCAACCCACCTCCCAATTTTCCTGACAGCAACAGTGGCATTGATGTAGGAAACTGTGATGAGGACATGTTCGCCAGGCTTGTTCTCCTGCACCTGTATGTAAGGTTTGAGCAGTGACCCGCCTGACCAGGTAGTGCCGTCAACGAAGGCTTTAGGTAGCCCTTCTGTGGATGCCTCGTAGGTCCTCTCTGCCCCACACACTGAGTGGCCCTTGATGATGATGGTGACCTGTAACACAACACAAACAATGAGTGACCCATGATAATGATGGTGACCTGTAACACAACACTGAGTGACCCTTGATGATGAAGGTGACCTGTAACACAACACTGAGTGACCCTTGATGATGAAGGTGACCTGTAACACAACACTGAGTGACCCTTGATGATGATGGTGACCTGTAACACAACACAAACACTGAGTGACCCTTGATGATGATGGTGACCTGTAACACAACACTGAGTGACCCTTGATGATGATGGTGACCTGTAACACAACACAAACAATGAGTGACCCATGATAATGATGGTGACCTGTAACACAACACTGAGTGACCCTTGATGATGATGGTGACCTGTAACACAACACAAACACTGAGTGACCCTTCATGATGATGATGACCTGTAACACAACACAGAGTGACCCATGATGGTGATGGTGACCTGTAACACAACACAAACAATGAGTGACCCATGATGATGATGGTGACCTGCAACACAACACAAAGAATGAGTGACCCATGATGATGATGGTGACCTGTAACACAACACAAACACTGAGTGACCCATGATGATGATGGTGACCTGTAACACAACACAAACAATGAGTGACCCAAGATAATGATGGTGACCTGTAACACAACACAAACAATGAGTGACCCATGATAATGATGGTGACCTGTAACACAACACAAACGAGTGACCCATGATGATGATGGTGACCTGTAACACAACACAATGAGTGACCCATGATGATGGTGACCTGTAACACAACACAAACAATGAGTGACCCTGATAATGATGGTGACCTGTAACACAACCCAGAGGACCCATGATGATGGTGACCTGTAACACAACACTGAGTGACCCATAATAATGATGGTGACCTGAACGCAACACAAACAATTAGTGACCCATGATAATGATGGTAACCTGTAACACAACTCAGAGTGACCCATGATGATGGTGACCTGTAACACAACACTGAGTGACCCATAATAATGATGGTGACCTGAATGCAACACAAACAATTAGTGACCCATGATAATGACCTGTAACACAACACTGAGTGACCCTTGATGATGATGGTGACCTGTAACACAACACTGTGACCTGTAACACAACACTGAGTGACCCTTGATGATGATGGTGACCTGTAACACAACACTGAGTGACCCTTGATGATGATGGTGACCTGTAACACAACACTGAGTGACCCTTGATGATGATGGTGACCTGACTAGTGACCCTTGATGATGATGGTGACCTGTAACACAACACAAACAATGAGTGACCCAAGATAATGATGGTAACCTGTAACACAACTCAAGTGACCCATGATGATGGTGACCTGTAACACAACACTGAGTGACCCATGATGATGATGGTGACCTGTAAACACAACACAGTGACCCATAATAATGATGGTGACCTGAACGCAACACAAACAATTAGGTGACCCATGATAATGATGGTGACCTGTAACACAACACTGGAGGACCCATGATGATGATGGTGACCTGTAACACAACTCAGAGTGACCCATGATGATGGTGACCTGTAACACAACACTGAGTGACCCATGATAATGATGGTGACATGTAACACAACACTGAGTGACCCATGATGATGATGGTGACCTGTAACACAACACAAACAATGAGTGGCCCTTGATGATGATGGTGACCAGTAACACAACACAAACAATGAGGTCCATGATAATGATGGTGACCTGTAACACAACACAAACAATGAGTGACCCATGATAATGATGGTGACCCGTAACACAACACAAACAATGAGGACCATGATAATGATGGTGACCCGTAACACAACACAAACAATGAGTGACCCATGATAATGATGGTGACCTGTAACACAACACAAACAATGAGTGACCCATGATAATGATGGTGACCTGTAACACAACACAAACAATGAGTGACCCATGATAATGATGGTGACCTGTAACACAACACAAACAATGAGTGTCCCATGATAATGATGGTGACCTGTAACACAACACAAACAATGAGTGTCCC